GTCGCCTTTTACGACCACCATTGATTCCTTGGGACCAATTCTAACCCAGCAGGTCCATAGGGGCAAGGTCACCGAGGAAAATGGTCACTAGACCGTGGAGCATTTAGGGTTGAGTGTATAACGATCCATTCAACAAATTAACTTTTCAACCTGATTTACTATGTGTAAACCCTGTTTCACCCCATATCCATGTCATAAGATCAAGCAGAACTAGTTCCGAGATTACACAAAAGCATAACAAACTTAGTAAGAAAGGATCAATATCCTGTCTTCAAAATATTACTGAGCGTACCATGTCAGAGTATTCATTGACGCCAAGTCTGTAAGAGTGCTCTCCCCTGTCGGCCTCCAAATTGTGTGTTTGGATGTAGTTGACATTCTTCTCGAAAATGATACGCCTTCGAATATGAAAATAATTGGTATTTAAAGTGAGGTTTTAGATTTTATTAAATAATCATACATAAAACAAGTATTGGTGATACATTGAACCATACAATTAGAAACGTCTTTGTCCACCACTATCATCCGTCCATCACTATCATCCCGTGTCCAGTGTAGATCTACATTCTTGTGACCCCAACTCAATCACTCACTCACAATGGCTGTTCATACATACTGAACTTGTAAACCACTTAATGCGTTTCCTCACTGAGCATGATGTCAGTTTGAAAACAAACGTTCAGGTGACTTGACCCTGTGTCTGCCGACCCATTGTATGACTACTACTCCGCGTAATACTTACTCTGTGTCTAACTAGCTCATGTATGCTTTCTCTGAGCCTGACTAGCTCGTTTATGCTTTCGCTGCCTCTGTCCAGCTCGAATATGCTTACTCTGTGTCTGACTAGCTCGAGTATGCTTACTCCTCATCCCATATCTGCCTTCCCTTTTGTCTGCCAAGCCCATGTCTGCCAATTCCGCGTCTGCTTGTTTCTATCTACACCACAAGTGCCTTCTCTGATTGCCTACCGTATATCTGCCTACTCCGTATCCAAGTGTCCTGTATCTGGCACACTGTGTCTGATTCCTGCTGCCTAGTCCGTGTCTGCCTACCCCGTGTCAATCTGGCTTCAGTCCACACAGCGTCTGTCTACTCTCTGCATGCCTACCTGTACTTCTCCTCCTTTGCGGTGTACTGCTTATTGTGTGTCTCCTTGAACAGCTCCCACTCCGTGTCCAGTTCAGCCCGGAAACCCAAGGCCACCCCCAACAACACTGCAGCTAACGCCAGGCGGAACATCTGTCCATGATGAAAATCCATCACATGACAATTTAAACAGGGAGAAAGTTTTCCTTTGCGACTTCCGAAGAAAAGAAATTACTGACCATGGTAGCAAAAGTATATCTCGTTCTGGATACTCCCACCCCATCTTCTGGAACGTCTGCGAATCTACATATTTTGATGGATAGTTCAAGTTATCGTTTCAGTAAATGAAACAGAATAGTTCGTTTCGACTTGTCTTACACTTGTCAGAGGGGTACTCAAAGTACGTGATCTAGACTACCAGTTGTCATTTTCGTGGAAGCCTCGGTGGCTGAGTGGGTTAGATCGCTGACTTTGTGTGCTGGCGATTAGGTGCCTCACTCTGGCAACAAAATCGTTAATAGTGAAGATTAACTGCAGGGAGCCAATGTTTTGAAACTACATCGGTTACAGCCTCGTTGTGAATAATAGAAGCTCCTATTGGAGCGGTGGGATAGCCTAGAGTTTAAAGCGTTCCCTCGTCACGCCAAAGAACCGGGTTCAATACCCCATATGGTTACATCCTGTGAAGTCCCTCGCCGTTATGTTGCTGGCATATTGCTGAAAGCTGCGTAAACCATACTCATTTACTCACTAAATGCCTATGTTACAACCAAGCCCAAAAAAAGAAGACGCAGGTAGTACGTTGAATGTCCTCTTGATAAGTATGTATACCATGTTAATTCTATGTTAATTAAGATGGTGATTAATAATCGTATACGTAAAAGTAAGCTTAGAATCTCAGTCTTAGAATTCATGCAATGCGTACAATTACAGGCATGTGTATAGGTATGTACTTACCGTGGTCAAATCGGCTAGTTTCACAAATAGTGGCGAGTGCTGAAGTAACACCAATTTTTATATCTGTCAAAGTTAGCTCGTGACCCCCACGTGTTCTTCGCCTGAGTTGGTCTCGTTACCCGCGATAAGAGTCAACTGACATCCATGAGATGTGCACCACATGTGAGTTCACAATCTAGCCATAGTTTCAAAAGTGCTTGTGATTATTTTTAGAAAATATTACATGCAGAGACAGGGCTAGTGATACTTTCTGCCTTTAACTATACTGCATTGCATTGGATTCAGGTTGCCTTCACAAAACCTCTTTGAGAGTAAGTACTCGCATAGTCACCGAAATTCACCTCACCTCAGTCGTGAAGATCTGCACAGCGGCACGTCGTAAAACTGTCGCTCGACAAGGGAACCTTTAACTTTGTCAGAGTGCGGATCTCTTTATATCTGGTAATACACACAACATGCAATAGCAATAAAAGCTTGTGTCAGCGACATTTCATTCCAGACTATTTATCTCTCAGATTAACCTAAACACTGTGCGGCAGATATCGTGTCTCCCCAGGTCCTGATACGACGGTTCTTGGATTATCTGTATTCAACATATATCCATCATAAGTACCATACCCTAAGTGAGTGATTCGATATTTATCTGAATATGATGCTAAGCTATTGACCACTTACGATTCAGTTGATGACATGCAAATTAGTGAGGGAGGGAGTTGGGTTTAACGCCGCTTTTAACAGTATTCGAGTTATGTCACGGCGTGTCAGCTTATTGTGGGAGGAAAGCCCGACGTAATGCAGGTCTTAGACGTTTACAACTTCGGTGAAACCCACGAGCACGGGTATGGTGCTGACAAACCTAGAAACATAATCGGGGCGAACCGGGATTCGAACCCACAAGTATAGGTTTCTGGCGTGCCCAAGGGACGCAGCTCTGCACAGCGAATTACAGCGCCTTAGACGAATGGGCCACCCGTGCCCCCTCGACATGAAAATTAACCTGAATAGACTCGTGAAGTAAGCATGAGGTCAGTCCGATAAGAAAACCATCCTCCTGATACATGTAGTCTCGCCTAATACCTTTTGTTTTTTAAATAACACTGATGCTTGTTGATGCCCCTGTGGTGTTGTCAGTCCGGAGAGTGAGTGAGTGAGTTGGGTTTAACGCCGCTTTTAACATTATTCCAGTTATATCACGGCGTGTCAGCTTAATGTGGGAGGAAAGCCCGAAGTGATGCAGGTCTAAGACGTTTACCACTTCGATGAAACCCACGAGCACGGGTATGGTGCTGACAAACCTAGAAACATAATCGGGGCGAACCGGGATTCGAACCCACAATCATAGGTTTCTGGCGTGCCCAAGGGACGCAACTCTGCACAGCGAATCGCGGCGCCTTAGACGACTGGGCCCCCCGTGCCCCCCGTCAGTCCGGACAGCGGAAGCAGGTGGTTTGTTCCCCGACCGCGTCTTACCGAAAGACTGTACTTCTTGTTTCCCTGCCCACCACTCGGCGTGAAAGGGGAAAAACAAGTGCTGGTCGGCACGGAGGCTGAGTGGGATGTATCATGTTAAACTGCGGCATAGTACCTCAGTGGACGAGTATTATAAAACCGGCATAAATCCGGACTAGTGCAAGCAGACACACACACAGACGCACGCACGCACGCACGCACACAGACACACACACGTGTATGCATGTGACTATGTACATGTAAGTGCAATAATCTTGATCGCGACGTGAAACCCAAACTCAACCGATCCTTGCATATTTGACACAATATATCTGTACCTAATTCTGTACCTGTACCTGTTTACTAATGTAGCATGGCGTGGAGTCATCCCACAGATGACATCTTTACCTTGTCAGCTTCCTCAACCTCTTTGGTCATGTGGACAAGGCTTCCGTCTTTGGGTCAGAAGGTTTATGGCCTCACCATTGGTGCCAAAGTGGTTTATTTGATCAAAATAAGTCTCGGTACCCTGTGATAAGACCCGTGACGTGCCTTCTGTTGACAGGTGAATGTTAAGCAGGCCTGGAGTCATCCAACGGATGACATCCTTCCAATTTGCTAACGCGGTCAACCTCTTCGGTCATGTGGACAAGGCGTCCGTCCTCGGAACAGAAAGTCGGTTCTAATCCCATCACAGGAGTCGGAAATTATTGCCGCTATAGAATACTGCTTGTACACCTGACTAAGTAACACACACAATATGTCTGTACGTCCCGCCTTATACCATGCGTTTACTAAGTCACACTGCTGCTTGTGTACATGGCTAAGTAACACACACAATATGTCTGTACGTCCCGCCCTATACCATGCGTTTACTAAGTCACCCTACTGCTTGTACACTTGACTAAGTAACACACACAATATGTCTGTACGTCTCGCTTAATGCCATGCGTTTACTAAGTCACCCTGCTGCTTGTGTACATGGCTAAGTAACACACACAATATGTCTGTACGTCCCGCCTTATACCATGCGTTTACTAAGTCACCCTGCTGCTTGTGTACATGGCTAAGTAACACACACAATATGTCTGTACGTCTCGCCTAATACCATGCGTTTACTAAGTCACCCTGCTGCTTGTGCACATGGCTAAGTAACACACACAATATATCTGTACGTCCCGCCTTATACCATGCGTTTACTAAGTCACCCTGCTGCTTGTGTACACACACACAATATATCTGTACGTCTCGCCTTATACCATGCGTTTACTAAGTCACCCTGCTGCTTGTGCACATGGCTAAGCAACAGACACAACATGTACATGACACGCCATTACTATCATGCATGAACATGTGCAGCTTTCATTTGGTTTGATTGTTGATTAACGCCACACTCAGCAATAGTCCAGCTATGTGACGGCGCTGCAACTTTTACATGTATGTGTGCGATCATGTATATGACAAGTTTATGTTGAAAAGGATGGAGCTAAAAAATTGAAACTATTTCGTTCTTTGATAATGAATATTATATTGGGGAAAAAGTGAAACATTGCCGGATCATTCTACAGATCTTGACCAACAATGTCTCAGTGTGGACATCTTATGTTGTGACATTTGCAGTTTACACAGGTTGAAAAACTACTTCGTTCTTTCATTGAGGAGATTTTATTGGGATTCACGTGGAGATCTTGACCAACAATCGGCATCAGTGTGGTTATTTTATGTGGTTAAAACTGCAGTTTACATAGCTGGCACAGGTGGCAATGCCGACATGGTGAACATGTTCCTTGCCATCTTGATGTAGCCCTCCATGCCCCACGAATCGCCCAAGCGAATTGGTAATAATAATAATGATAGTGATAGTGATAATGCTGATGATGATAATAATGATGATGATGATGATGATGATGATAATAATAATAATAATAATATTAATAATAATAATAATAATAGGCCTTAGCACACAAGGTTTACTTAACAAATAAAATGATCATCATACAATGTCTTTGGAAAACCTGTAAAGTGTAGGTTCTTTGTTGTTTATTAGAAATTGATTGCATACTTTTTAAAAAGGAACAACATTTCTTTTTACGTGTTACTTCTTTCTTCTGTTGTCTTCACATGCCAGATCCAACCATTGAGGAAATGAATGGTGTCTACAAGTAATGAACAGCACGTGTGTTCTTCTGAGAATCCAGTTATGAGGTAAGGTGCTTGAAAGATGACTAACTTCATTTGTGATGTTTTCTCTTTTGGTGATATTATTAATTATAACCCGTGGAGATCCAGGTTAGAATAGGCCTTCAGCAACCCATGCTTGCCGTAAAAAGGCGACTATGCTTGTCGTAAGAGGCGACTAATGGGATCGGGTGGTCAGGCTCGCTGACTTGGTTGATGCATGTCATCGTATCCCAATCGTGTGGCTCGATGTTCATGATGTCAATCACTGGATTGTCTGGTCCAGACCCGTTTATTTACAGACCGCTGTCATTTAGCTGGAATATTGCTGGAGTGCGGCTTTTAACATTTCAATTCTCCGTTCAATAAACACTCTCCATGGTGACGTTAAGTGAAAAATTCAGCCACCTCGAAATTAAATTCACAACTCTCCCGAGCGATGTGGAATCTGTTCGCCACATCCAAGATGTTGTGCATGCATATGTTGATTTGTTAACTACGAAGATGGAGAAAGTAGAGGGGAAGATGGAACAATTTGATAACGAGATAAACAGACTTGAAGTATTCAGTAGACGTGATAATGCCATCCTGTACAACGTGTCAGAAGAAGGTGGTGACTCTCTTGGGGACTGTAAAACCAAGGTAACATCTATCTTAAACGAAAACGTCAACGTGAATACATGGCGTGATACAGACGTCATTCGTGCACACAGGCTTGGTATTCGCAAGGATGGTGCTACTAAACCAAGGCCAATAATAGCAAAATTGAGGTCCTCAGATGACAAGATGGACATTCTGATGTCCCGTTCTTCTCTTGGAATGGTGTATACGGCGTTTCCACTGATCATTCTATTAGACAACGCCAACAACTCCAGGACGTTAAAAATCAAGGACTAGCGGGCTACTTCAAGAACGGCAAACTGGTGACGAAACCAAGACACAACCAGCGTGCACGTGACAGACGTCCCAGAGGGAGCAAGGACCCTTTTGTAGCAATCTGGCCAAGGCCCAGAACTTCACACACAGGAGACAAATGACATTTTCACCAGTGGCTGTCAGAACCATACCATATTGTCATGTAATTTGGTTTGAAAAAGAGGTTTGATGATTATAACTTTATTGAATATTAACAGTGTTTTGATATTATATGTCTAGTGGAAACATTCGTTGCAGATATCATTGAGCACAATTGGTTAAATGGTTATGTATATTATTCACCAGCAGTTAAAATTGCCTCATCTGGGAGGAGTTTAGAGGGTGTATGTATTTGTGTTAGACAGGATATTGCAATTCACTGTACACATATCAAATCTTATATAGATAATTTTATCTGTTTGAGATTTCGTAAGGAAGTTTTATCGCCTAGCTAGCGATCTTTTATTGATCGGTATCTATAGTCCTCCTACTGGGTCAACATTCTACAGCAAAAGGACCAATTGATGCACTTGTTTATCTCAGAACACTTGTCTGACATTAGTGAAACCCATGTGCTGTTGTGTGGTAACTTAACGCTCGCACAGGCGAAGAAAATAAGCCAGTTAATGAAGAACCTGATGACGCTGGCTTTAATAATGGTGCGTATATAGATGTCGATAATGTGCCAGTAGGAGAACGATCATCCCACGACAATATGGTCAATAGATTCGGACGTGTTCTCCTTCAACTGTATTATGTCTACAGATTGTTCATTCTAAATGGAAGAATAAATGGAGATAAAGGAGGTGAATATACTATTGTAGGAGAAAATGGATCCAGTGTTGTCGACTACTTTATATCGTCGGCCGATTTCTACCAATATTGTGTCTCACTTAACGTTGGTGACCTTCTACATTCAGATCATCTCCCTTTAGAACTGACCAGACCATTCCCTCGGAGGAAACAACTCGTAAATAACGATAATACTGATATTCAAATAACTGATACTATACTTGATTGGGATAACTCCAAGATAGACCTATTTTCAAAATCAGTTAAAGACTGTTAAAGTTAAAGTTTGGATAGTCATGAAAACAGATTGATGGAAACACTGGAAAATAATCTAGAAGATGGGATTGCTTGTTTTGTGGATCTCTTGATAGATTATGCGAACTGTATGCAGAAGAGATGTAAACTACGGCGTTACCATACTCGCCATGATAAACAACCCCTCGATCAGGAGTGTAGAGTATCAAGACGTGCAGCTTGGAGGGCTTTACGGAAATTCAGATGTAAACTGACGGATTATGATAGGAAACAGTAAGAAATATCTACAAATCAACATGTAGGAAATTCAAATCTAACATCCAACGATCAAGACTTACAGAACTCTATTGCACGTTAGACAGCCAATCCAAATTTTGGGAAAAGATTTGTTTATATCAAAACCGGAACACTCATAAACAAAACATATCAGCAAATGAATGGCTATCATATTTTAAAAATCTATTTTCATCTGATTAAGCGCCATGCAATTCTGATTGCTTATATTCTGAAGATGTTGGCAGGCACAATAAAGAAGATGTAGACATACTAATTCTAGAATGACTTATCACGGCTGCAAAAATCCAAGACGCCATTTCCCACTGGAAAATCTGGACCTTTTCCTAAATCTTCGCAATTTCTTTTGAGATGTTTCAATAAAATATTTAATGAGGGTAGTCTCCCATCCACATGGACGAAATCGATTATCATCCCCATATTTAACATGTGGTATATCTCTAACTAGTATTTTAGGTGAGGTATTTACCAGTATTATCAATAACAGACTGATTCAGTGGTCGAACATGTGGGACCTGATACCCGAAGTGCAGGCTGGATTCAGGATAGGCTATTCCACCTGTGACCTTATTTTTACTCTGCATGCAGTAATTGAAAAATACCTCTCATATAATAAACGTAAATTATGTGTTGCCTATGTGGACTCAAAAAGGCATTCGATTCTGTGGATAGACGTCGATTTTGTAAATGTTTACAAAAGCACAACTTCGATGGCAAAATGTATATAATATTTAAATCAATTTATCAAAATATTAAATCATGTGTTCGATGTGATGAGGCTGTGACGGACTTTTTCGACTGTCCAATCGGTCTGCGTCAAGGATGTGTATTGAGCCCTATGCTGTTTCCATTTTTCATCAACGAAATTTTACTTTCTGGGAAACGTGGAGTCCAACTATTTCCTGACATAATAGAACTTTTGATGTTGCTGTTTGTGGTGATGTAATTCTTACGTCAAGCACCATATCATGATTAAAGAACCAACTGGATATTCTGTCAGTGTACTCGGATAAATGGAAAATTGAAGTAACCTTAGATCAGACAAATATTGTGATTTTTAGAAAAGGAGGACCAACTGCACTGAGAAAAAAATGGACATATAAAGGGGAATATATGAATATTGCCGGAAAATATAAATACCTGGGAATATTATTCACAAGTACATTAAACGTAAGTAAATCGTTAAATTTATCAACAAAAGTAAGGAAGAGCTTTCTTTCAATTGCAGTCTGTTGTGTATAAACTTGGCGTTATTACACATCCCATTTTCTTTAAACTGTTGGATTGTCAAATACAGCCGATCTTATTGTATGGCGCAGAAATATGGGTCTGTCGAGAGATTTATTTAATCGAAAAGGTACACCTGTTCGCCTTAAAAGATTTCTTAATGTGGATATGTCAACTCTCAGTAATATGGTTTATGGTGAATGTGGGAGGTCCGCACTATATATAACATCTTATACTCGATGCCTACGCTATTGGCTGAAGTTATTATGTATGCCTGAACATCGTTTGCCAAAGAAAGCTTATAATATGCTGGTATATCTTGATAATATTGGAAAGAACACATGGGCTTCCCGTATAAACTTAACTCATTTTAATTATAGCTTTGGATTCATAACGATCTCTCAATCTATTGGTGACATAAATATGTTTTCACAACTATTTCGCACTCGTGCTATAGATATGTTCAGATAGGATTGTCATTCTACACTTTAAGGAAGTTTTAGGTACGACACATATCGTAATATTAAGTATCTCCTTGAACCAGAGTCGTATCTTTCAAATTTAAGATTCAAACACCTCCGCAATACCTTTATACGTTTTAGATTTGGTCCGAATAAAGGAAGATATTTAAATTTTGAAAAGTCACTAAGAATTTCCTCGTCTCTAGCCTTGGTGCTGAAGACGAATTTCATTTTATGTATATTTGCCCTGTATATAACAAAATAAGAATGAAATCGTCTGGTCATTTTCATGTATATGACTTCGAATGTCTGCTGTCAAGCAAAAAGTATAGCGTTCAACTACAAGTATCTTTATGCATTCATCATGCTTTTGTGTTACGTGAGTTGTTGTGTCTTGATTCTCCGTATGCTACAATATTTGTTAATATAACTGTATGTCTATGTAACTCACTTCTATATGGGCAAATGGCCTTTACAATTAA